TAGTGTAAAATACAGAAATTCTACCAAGGTGTTTCAGTATTTATTTATTTATATAAAAAAATATTTATTAATTGATATAAAAAAGTTTTTATCTATGGTATTATTACACGTGCAAAGAGTTTCAGTATTTAAGTATTTATTTATATATATATAAAATATTTATTAATTGATATGCAAAGAGTTTTTATAAATAAAAAAATAGAAAAAAAAAAAAAGAAAAGGTCTATCAAATTTTGAAATCTATCTAATAAAATTTAAGTTAACCAATTTATCTATTTATTGTTATGAATTTTTTAATAAAAGAAATTTAATTAGATAAGAATTATTAATATAAAAAATATTTATTAATTGATATATAAAATAAAATAATTTTTCTAAAACTCTACCACAAATTAACTTTTATTATGAGTTTCTTAATAAAATTAAATATAATTAGACAAGGATATATTTAAAGAAAATAAAATAATTTTTATAAAACTCTATCACAAATCACATATTTTATTTTCAATAAAACTTTATCACACCAGACAAAGATATAATATTTATAGAGTTTCTATAGAATTTTAACACAAATTTCCTATTTATATATTTATTCAGAGTTTTTTAATAAAAGGAAATCTAATGAGACAAGTATTATTAATATAAAATATTATTTATCAATTGATCTAAAAAGAGGTTTTAAAAGAGTTTCTATATAACTCTAATACAAATTACCTATTTATCTATTTATTATGAGTTTTTTAATAAAAGGAAATCTAATTAGACAAGCACTATTATGATAAAATATTATTTATTAATTAATATACAAAGAGGTTTGAAAAGAGTTTCTATAAAACTCTAACACAAATTACCTATTTATCTATTTATTATGAGTTTTTTAATAAAAGGAAATCTAATTGTAGAAGAGTTATTAATATAAAAAAATATTTATTAATTGATATAAAAAGTGTTTTTCAAAGAGTTTCTATTAAACTGTAACACAAATTACCTATTTATTTATTTATTATAAATAGATTTTCAGAAAATAAAATAATTTTTATAAAATTGTACCACAAATTATCTATTTTATTTTATTTAAAACTCTGTCACATATAACTTGTTTTTATCTATTTATTATAAGTTTTTTAATGAAGGAAATCTAATTAGACAACGATATATTTAAAGAAAATAAAATATTTTTTTTAAAGAGTTTGTATAAAACTCTAATACAAATTACCTATTTATGTATTTATTATGAGTGTTTTAATAAAATATAATATAACTAGATAAGAATTATTAATATAAAAAATAAAATAATTTTTCAAAAACTCTATCACAAATTATCTTTTATTATGAGTTTTTTGATAAAAGAAAACCTAATTAGACAAAACTATATATATTTAAAGAAAATAAATAATTTATATAAAATTTTAACACAAATTACTTATTATATTTGCAATGAAACTCTATCACATTAGATAAGGATATATTTAAAGAATTTTTATAAAACTCTAACACAAATTACCAAAATTTTACCACAAATTAACTATTTTATTTTCTTTAAAACTCTATCACATATAACTTGTATTTATCTATTTATTATGGGTTTTCTAATAAATGGAAATCTAATTAAATAAGGATATATTTAAAGAAAATAAAACAATTTCTATAACTGACAAGGATATATTTAAAGAAAATATATAATAATATAATAATAAATATAAATAAAATATAAATGTTAAAGAATTTGAACATCTCAGTATTTATTTTTTAATATAAAAAATATTTATTAATTAATATAAAAAGAGAACTCTATCATATATAAGTATATAACCCTTGTATTTATGTATTTATTATGAGTTTTTTAATAAAAGAAAATCTAATTTTACAAAGATATATCTAAATAAAATAAAATAATTTTTATTAAGCTCTACCACAAATTACTTATTTAAAGAAAATAAAATATAACCTAGGGTCTTCGAAAAACCACAAACTCCATATAATAAATTTTTATATCAATTTCAATCTAATGTATGATTAGTGTAATTGAATCTCTATTTTAAAATTTAATTAAAAATTAATATAATTGAATTTCTATTGTAAATTAAAAATTATATTAAATTTCAAATTACCTAATAAAATTCAAATTACAAATTACCTAATAAAATTCAAATTACCTAAAAGAATTTATTACTTTGCAAAACTCAAATATTTCAGTATTAAAATAAAAAATTATTAATTAATAAAAAATAAAATATATATATTTCAGTATTAATATAAAAACGTAAAAGAATTTGTTAATTTACGAAACTTAAATTCTATCACCAATTTCAAAATATTTTAATACTTATTTATTAATATAAAATAAATATTTATTAATCAATATAAAAGAGTTACAAAAAATTGCAATTTATTTGTAACGTTTATTGTTACAAGCTTTAAATCAACCATTAGAAAAAAAAAAAAAAAAAAAAAAAAAAAAAAAAATCTATAAGTTACAAAACATTCACCACGTGCATCGCAAGTGCTTTTTCCTAATATATATATATAAGTGGTACTGATATATTATATTCATTTATCTATGTATACTTCAGAAAAATCAAGCCGACTAGTTGAGTGAAACTTGGGCCCACCTACTTGCGTGTTAGGCCACGCCATTTTGCCTAAAGGCCTTATGGGCTTTGCAGTGAATTATTAGATTTATTATTTTTAATTGGTTATTTATGGAATAAATAAGATTGTAAGGTGTTTTACTTATTTGTATTTAATATAAATAATCAATCAAAAATTATTTAATTAGACAATTCACTACAAATCTTCGATCTGAATATTACTGCTCAATTCTTAATATTGCACTGTTGTTGTCTCGTCTGGCTATGGCTTCACATGAAATAGTTTGGGGTTAGATTTGGAGTTATATAGGTCGTCGGAATCATTATACTCTCCTGCTTCATTTTGGTCTTTGTGTCTGTATTGTACCTGATACAATAATTTTAAATGGTGAACGTTGTTTTTGTTACAAAAATTTTACATAGATAACCTTTTTTTTTTTTTTTTAAATCAATAATGCAACAATTAAATAAATATGTTGAAAATTTTATTTAATAGAATTATAATGTTACATAACTATCAAATATATTACTTCATTTGTTTCAAATTAGGTGTTCATTTTGGAGAGTCTAACATCATAAAGAGATATGTAATTATTGTATTATCTCCTTTTAAAATTACTTAGTTGTCTTTTCAAGTTTGAATAAATATATAAATAAGTTTGAATTTTTTTTAAGTTTAACGGTATCTTATGAAAAGATCTTAAATGTGTTATTTGAATTTAGAAAGTATATACAGCTTAAATATATATATCTAGAGAGAGAGAGAGAGAGAGAGAACTAAATTGCTACGAATGGGGGTTGAATTTTTTGGACGCGGTTCACTCATGTTGCACTAGGCAAGTGATGAGTGTACTAGTGCAACATGATAGAGTATACTTGAAAGACACAAATAGTTCTATTTTGTTTGGTGCTAATTAAATGAAATGCAATGCTTGCACTATCCTGATTGTATATGTTTACACCATAAATTTTTTTTCAGCTAAAAAGATTGTCGTGGCCAATCCCAATGGAAAAGTGATATGCAAATAAGGTGCAATCATGAAGTAACACATGGCTTCATCAAATGAAGCCATTATTTGGTACGAGCAACTACACAGGGACATGTGGAGGTAAGCAATTACTTACAGTTGGAAAGACATGACTTTCCAAATGGACACGTAGCAGGCAGAGAAGGAAGCAGTTACTTGCAGTTGGAAAGACATGACTTTCCAAGTGGACACATGTCGGCCAAGGTGGGAATCACTTACATTCAGTTGGAAAGTTGTTACTAATGGGACACGTGTCAGCCAAAGAAAAAGATAGTTACTTTCAGTTAGAAAGACGTGTGACTTTCCAAGTGGACATGTGACAGACTTACTTGCAAGTTAGGGGCAGTTACAGGCAGTTAGGAAATCATGGCCCATTCCATTTGTCAGTTCTAGAGTGTGGCTAAAAGACTTCAATTAGAATTGAATCACCAAAACCATTCCTTCAAAACTAAAATTCATGGGACATCATGTTCTTACATGTGTCAACATTATGAGAAAACTAAGGAATACATGGGATACGTGGCACGATCCGGACTTTCCAGATGGAATTTCTCAACTACTGCGGGAAACCGCAGCCTTTCCATTTGGGCAGTTCTAGAACGTGGATAAAGGCTTGAATACATGCATTCAATTGCCAATACCACTATTTATCAGTTGTAGCTTATGGGAAAACGTGATCTTACACGTGACAACATTGAGAGAAGGATGAAAAATCATGGGACACTTGGCAATCCAAGGAAAGGCCAAGTGTAAGCTACTGAAATTGCCACATTTCCAACTGCTGCAAAAAAACTCTATAAATAGAGGACTTAGGCTGAACATACAAACCATGTTCAACACACACATTATATTTTATGTCTCTTTATATTCATGTAATACACCTTCAATATGTTTAATTCAAGCCATGCACTTATTATTCCTACTTTCCAATACTTTACATTAAAGCCCTGCACTTTCAATACCATTTTTCTTTCCACTAGTCATAGAGTAGTCCAAAAGTGCTTTTTCAAGGCAAAAAGAACCTCCAAATATTGTAATTCCAGTCCTTTGTACAGTCGTCTAATCCATACAATCTCCTACTGGATAATTGTTCGGATACTCACTTTGAAACGACAACAGTTCCTGGCACACCCGTAATTCACCCTCCTTTCCATACTTGGAAAGGACCACGGTTTTTAAGGAGCCGAACAGTATACTTGTCCCATCAAAGAAAAAAAAACTTAAAAAATTATCCGTCGTAAGTTGTAACCATTATGTTCCTCTGTAGTCATTGTGATTTAGTATCATTCGGTGTGTACATATATATTATATAAGGCTGTTGGGTCTCCGTTTCGTCTCTGCTAAACCAAAAATTTCATACATGTTTTCGAAGGATAGCATAACCGGCAGCAAAACATGTTCTCATCAAATTATATTGCTCACAATCGTAAACATCCAAGTAGAAAAGCATTTTATGTCAACAGTTCTAACAACACACCATCTCTTGGGAAAAAAATATATAAATGCCTCATAATTTTTGTGCATTTATGAGGCTTTTAGTCAACCAAATTGCCGTTTCTCTGGATGAGACAGCGTCTTCCCCAAACGGTTTTAGCACACCAGCAAGTTCATCAAGTTTGTTCTGTTTAAGTAATCGGGCACATAGCTCAAGCAGAGACTCTAGAGCATCGGCCCTCTGCTGAGTTGGATTCTCCCATTTGCTCTTACTTTCACCACCATCAGTAGCAGTTACTGTACTCCGCAATGGAATCTCAGTAGATGCCCGATTTATCACTTGAATGTCCTCCTTCTCTACTTGCATTGACTCACTAATATTATCTGTTTTTACTTCCACTCCAGCTTTGCAAAGAACTATATCATTACATTCAGATGAAATGTAGTCTCTATGACCATCTTCTGCATATGAAGAATCGTGATTTTCCACCTTTTGTATAAAACCGTTGGGTTTTGTATCAGGTTCACATGCTGCAGTTTGTACAGCCGAAGATGAACTTCCTTCATCAATGGACTCATCCTTGCCGCTACAGCCTGAGCTAGACATTTTCGTTCTCCCGTAGTTCTGCAAAATAGTATGCTCTTCCACTATTTCCACTTCCCCAGTAATTTCTTGATTGGGGAATGCCTCAGGATCCTTTGTTGTCTCACCCTCACTGACATCCATTTGCAGCTGTTGAACACATTCGGGAGCAAGTTTCTCATTTTCTTCATGCGGATAATTTGATTTGCTCCTTGAGGTAATCTGAGTATCCGAGCTTTCTTTTGTTGGCAGAGAATTAGAACTGTCCTGCTCATCTCCATCGCAAATAGTTGTTTCACAACTTGTAACTCCTCCTTTTGAATCATCACTATCATTGGAAACAGTCGCGGGATAGCTTGTAGGATCAACCCTCTTGGTTTCAAGATTGTCTTCCGCCATATTGATGAATGTTGGATCGTCACTTTTTGGTGAACTTCTTGGCTGCACATCAGCATTTCCCTCAAACTGAGGAACTGTCACCATCTTTTTTAGTACTGGGAACTCCTTTTCTCTTTTGTCTTTTCCACCACTAGGTTTGCTAGGTGATTGTTTTTTTGTTGTGTTATCATTTGTGCTGTTTGCAGACTTTACTGGAAATACTGGAAGAAAGACAGAAGACGGGTTGCGGCATCGAAGGAGGTGGGGCTGTATATGTGGATGCCTCAACAGTTCTGCAGCCTAAAAATTTAGACATTTACGAATTAGGATGACTTCATAATTTTCAAATTGATCAGAATTACATAAAAGCCGCTTTTACTCACAGTTGGTCTGTGCTCTGGACTCTTCCTTAGCATGCTCTTGATAATCTGTTTCCTACAATGCTCAAGCAAATTCCATCCAATGAAATTTATTAGGGTTGTAATAAGATTGAAAAATTTGAGGGTCATTGACACTGAACAATCTATCACAATACAGCACAAGAGCATATATAAACAAAACATCTGAGATTTGTCTCGGACTTGAAGAGAATACTTACAATGTGGAGGAATATACAATTGGGAGTGGAGAAACAGTGGATCTGTTTATCTTGTTGATAAGTCCAGCCATATCCTGTTCAGTTGAGTTATTAAAGGATTTTAATTTATTTTCAATTTATCTGAAAGTATAGATGCTTCATTTGTGCTTATATATGATATCAGAGTGCTGTTATACATATAGCACAAGCGTGAACTTACCAAAGCTCTAAAGGCTGGTTGATGTGCCGCAATTTCAAACATACAGCAACCTGAAACAATGAAAAGATGTTATTCAGAGCAATAGCATGGACATAACTCTGCGAACATATTTTCATTAAATTGTCTTCTTACCAAGCGACCATATATCAGATTTGTAGCCATAAGGTATATCTGCAAGGAGCTCAGGGCACATGTAGGTGGGAGTACCAACAACCTATTTTAAATATGATGGTAAACAGAAAAGGTTTATGTGAAAATTAGACGTAGCTTTTAAAAGAAGAAGACTTGAGCTTTGTATTTTCAACATAAGCTCCTCAAATCTTGAAGTGCAGAACACTGAGCACTAGAGAACTACCATCACTATAGTTTGTGTGCATATAAAACTGATGAAAAAAAACAATTAGGCTTCGATAAGAGCTCGTCTCTAACAATAAGGCTTCGATAAGAGCTCGTCTCTAACAATAAGGCTTCGATAAGAGCTCGTCTCGATCATGATAGGGTTGCTTCCTTGAAACAGGTTGAGGAATTGAGATGAAAATAGATCTGTTAAGTAGAGAAGTAAACACATACCGAGGAAGCGAGGTCTTCTGCATTGAGTAGTTTTGCGAGTCCAAAGTCACCTGCATACTCCATGTAAAAAGAATATCTTTTAGAAGGAAATGGAAGCAGAACCTGATGCCAGATAAATTCCATCACTATTTATGCCCTTCTTACCAAGCCGGACGTCATTGTCCTTCGTGAGGAATATGTTGGAGCACTGCAATCAAATGGGTTTGAATTACAGGTTAGCATCAGTAAAAGCTTCTCTTTACTATGTGGATGAGTATATATGTGTACCTTAAGATCCCTGTGAAGGACGCGGTTTGAGTGCAGATAGTCCACAGCTAGTAACAACTGAGCAAGCCATTTGCAGAGTTTCTGAGGAGCAACACAAAGGAACAATGAGTACGAGCAAGTTAGCTAGTGTAGGAACCAAAATAACTTCAATTATGTGAATTTTCTTTCAGTTACCTCCTCTGGGAAGAAAGCACCTCTAGCCTTCCTTATAATCTCAGCCCTGATTATCCAGAAACATTTGAATTTTTGGTTTAGTGTCAAAGAATGCTGAAACTCTCATCTTTCTTTTCTTTAATTTCAAAAATATTGGTCGCAACATATTTCATCCTTCTTAATTGCATTGTAAAAATCAAAGATGAGCATATTCACAGCTGAATAAAAAGGATATATATATCTACGTCTTTGCTGGTTGAGAAAAATGACTTTATGTTTTGTGCACAAAATTTCAATGCAAAATTACATTTACCATACCCCGTTTGTACTTAAATGAGAGAAACCACATCTTATGCTAGTCAAAGTTATGGGTAGTCACTTACATGTCGCCTCCTTCACAGTAGCCAGTTACAATGCATACACAACAACCCTAGAAAACAAAACAAGCCTGTTACTGTAGATAAAGCTTTAGCAGCAACAGTTTTCTATATAATATTGAAGTTATGTGTTGCCTTTCAATCTCAATACAGATCTATACATACAGAAATTATGCATTTACCTTGTCTACCCAAGCATCTTTGTAGTCCACAATATATGGGTGGTTCAAGTTAGCTATTAAATTCATCTGCAACAGGAGTAATAAGATTATTTTTTATATGAGTGAGGATCATAATTCTTTAATCATATCTCTAATCAATCAATGTCTTTGGTCAAGTGAAAAAACCTGTTTAATTCATGCCAGGGCCATCTACCACTGAGTTTATTTTCTTAGTTGATGAAAAAAGCTAATTCTAATTGATGTTGAATTATTTACTAAGAGCTGAAGAAGAAAGAAGCTACCCTAGAATATATGACCTCTGCAAAAGGACCTTTTTTTTCTCACGGTGAGTTAGTATATTAAAATCGAAGGAACAAAACTACAAGGATAGTAAAGCCCCAAGCCAACAAAACCAAATACATCCAGCTAACAAGCTGCACGAAACAGAGGTTACAACCCTAAACCAACATTCTAAATTTCTAACAACCAACTTGAGCAAACAGATAACAACAATAGAAACAAATACAGATAAACAGCAAACAAGAAAATGAAGAGATCATGCGCAAGAGTATTAGAAACTGGAGAATCCATCTTCCACAGCAGATATACCCCACTGCAGAGCTGAAGCAAGCTATTGATCACCAACATAAGGCCACAACTATCTGATACACACATCAAGAAGCTCCCATTGACCCATTAACCATCTATTGGCTTGAGTATCTTTGACTTTCAAATTTAACGATTGCAGTTTATGAAGAATAATAAAGATGATGTCCTGCTAAACATCAACTGCAGACCTTGCTTTGAGTAAAAATTCTAGCATTCCTTTCTCTCCATAAAAAGTACACGGTAGCTGCTAGACATAATTTTCCACTCCTTTTACTGAAGCTGTGACCTTTTAACTTAGAACTAGATCATTCCAAGATGTGCTTTGGAGATTAGGACCACATTAGCCATAATACTCCAAACAGAGTTAGAGAAGGCACAAGAGAAAATTGTGATTATTGGATTCCTCAGCAGCTTTGCACAAAGGACATTTTAGAGGTACAACTAGTAAAAAAAGAGAGAAAATAAATGAGATGATGTTAAGAATTATTATACATCGTGCCAAGGACTATTTAAAAGTCTCCGTGTTTTTCATAGATTATGAAGAGGTTAGTTGCTCATATGGGGATATGTTTATTGTATATGCAGGCTTTGTGTTATTTGCGTGTAGTGTCAGTAGTGTTCAACTGCTCCCTAGTGAGCAGAAACAATATATTTTTAGTTGTAGCCTTAGGATCTAATCTAACGGTTAATTAAAAGAATAGTTGCTTTAGGAAATTACCATTTTTTTAATTAATCACTAATTAAAATTGAGGTGGAATGACTATAATGAATAGTTTCTGAAAATTAAATAAATAAATTATTTATTTAATTTTCAGAAACTATTCATTTAATCTTATTAACCGTGAACTGCCACCACCACCTCCCCCATGGCTATAATGGATAGTTTATGAAAAAGAAAAAAATAATTTTTTTTAATCTTATTAACTGTGAACTGCCACTGCCACCTCCACTGCCACCACCACCACCACCTCCCCCACCACACCACTGCCACCTCCACCACCACCTATACTACTGCTGCCTTCCACCACCGCCACCATCTTCCACCACACCACCGTCACACATACTATTTTAACATTTACCATTGATGAATAAACCAGGCTACTAAACTAACAAGTCTAATAATGAATGTTATTTTCACAACGGCAGTTTCAATTGATAGATATGAATAACATCTTGCAGGTAAATAACAAGAAATTCTGTAATCTAACAGGTTTTTGACAAAAAGTCAGAAATGTGGATTTTAATAAAATTAAACATCATAAAAGAACAAATGGTTAAAATTGATGACAAAGAGTAGCTTTAAACCAAGCGTTATCTGAATCTTATTTGATTGATGATAATATATGAGGTAAAATGCAAAAATAAATAAATGTTGCCATAACAAGATCAAATTAGTGGATAGCTGCTCTTAGAGAGAAAACCAATACAAAGGACAGAAGAAGAAATAAAGCATGCTCTAGAGGAGTGAAATCTAACATGCAAGGACGAGTATGTAGATTATAGACGAGAGAATGAGAAATGAGGCTGTGGCAGTGGCGGTGGTGTAGTGGAAGAAGGTGGAGGTGGTGGCGGGATGGTGGCAGTGGAGTGGTGTTGGAGGTTGTGCGGTGGTGGCAGAAGGCAGCAGTGGTTCACTGGTTGGTTAATCAAATTAAAATATATATATATATATATATATATATATATCCCTTTCCAGAAGCTATTGATTATGGTCATTTCACTTCAATTGTAATTAATAGATAATTAAAAAAATATGGTAGTTATTCTTCTAATTAGCGGTAGGATTAGATCCTAAGGCTACAACTATAAGTGTGTATAGTAGAACATTACTGCGTGTTGTATAGTATCAAACATTCAAATGAAAATGTGATGACACAGGTAAATAAAAAATTGAACATACTGGATGCAACTTCAGTAAGATAATTAGTCACCTATCAAATATATATATATACATAAATAAATTATGTGTAAATACTTCTATAGTTAAGGTTGATGATCAGAAAGTAACAAATGCATCTATTTTCAAATGAGCCTCCCTGGACTGAATTCGAGGTTATCCAAGAAAAGAAATATATATACACTTGAACTAGATGAGATTTGGGCATTTAGATGTCTGAGACTTCAGATGAAATCTGTTTGGTTGCCGAAAAATTGGATAAAAGAAACTTCAGAAGATGAAAAATGGATTGCATTAATGCTAAATTTGGTTGCTGATAATACAGAGACCTGAAATTTGACATTATGGATGAAATGTAGCGTTTGATGAAACCCAGTGGATGAACAAAGCAGTGGCATTCTATATCTAATAACATCCCAGTAATGAACTGACCTCCTGATGTGCAGTTTGCTTGAACTTCTCTGTTTGCTTAGCCAAACGAATCTTCTTCAAGACATACCTATTCAGATTTAATAACAAATAGAACATTAGACCTCCACCAAACGCCCACAACCAAGAATACACAAACGGATCAGAAACAAAAGCAGGGAGATAAAATGATAAATTAAAAATATTGGTACTTTAAGTACAATTTTGACTGAAAAATTTCAGTTCGATTGCAGATGATTTGCACAATTAAATTCAGTTTTTTCTTTAGAATTGTTGAAAAATTTGAGGTTTCTTTTAGGTCATTTTATCCTAATTGTCATTTACAGAGCTTTCTTATTTATACTGAATCTTTAGAAAAACAAGCATGGACGTTTAAGCATTTAATGTGATGCACTAAACTTGATTCTGTAATGCAGAGGAAACACAGATATAAACATATACAAATTCAATATGGGGATGGGAATTCTCTTACTTCTTTTTCTCAATTTTATGGAGAACGAGGAAAGCTGCTCCAAAAGCTCCTCTGCCAATCTGCTCTATCACTTCGTAATCTTCCATCTTCGACTTCGTATCGCCGTTCTCCATCTCCATTAAAGAACTTCAAAAACCTAAACATTTACACAGAAAAAATCTAGCGTTAGTGGGTAGATCCAAATTTTGGTGAATTGAATTGGGTCAACTTCATAAATCACACAGTTCATACAGAGGGCGAAATTTCAGATTCTGACCCAAAATCTCATGCAAAGAACCCAGAAGATGCAAGTGTTTGTGTGCACAGAAGCAATTAATGAGTAAAAGGGTTCCAAAAAATGATTATTGAGACTATAGAAGTAATAATAGCCTTTAGAGGGGATGTATAAGTAGGGAACATGAGCTTGAATAAAGCAACATTCGAGAATTATGACAGCAAGCTCTAGAGAGAGAGAGAGAGGTGGAAAGACACACTCATGTAAAGCAACACATCACAATAATAAAAAGTTGATAATCTCCAGAGAGGTAGAAAAGCAAATTGAAGTAAAGCAACACAGCACAGATATAATGATAGTTAAGTTGATTATGGACCAAATTGAAGATGAGAGAGAGAGAGGGTTTACCGAAAGATAAAGTGAAGTAAGAAGAGAGAGTAGTGAGGTTAATTAGGAAAGTTGCTTACTTACCAATTAGAGAGAGAGAGATGAGTGATGGGTATGGAGGACCAGAAAGAGGCAAAACTTTGCTTGGCTTGACAGTTTGAGAAGGGATCGATCAGATCATATCATATCATATCATTCACACCACGGAATTGGAATTTTCCCAACCTGCACGTAGTTGCGATGTCACCATCTTCAACCGAAAGAAAGCCTTCCGTTTTTGTATATTTTAGAGTATCCCAATGCCCACCATTCCTGAATTTGGAATGATGGAAGACAAAATTTAAACTAAATGCTTTTTAATTTTAATTCTAAAATGGTAGTAAAATTTATGCATTTTATTCCATCATTGTATCATATCTGATTTTATTTTTTAGAGGGTCTTCCTGAAATTTCCAATTTTTGATCAAATTTGACCTATCTAAATAATTGTTAAATGTCTTTATCTGAATTCATCAGTTCTTATCAATTACCAAGTATATAAATTATTTTAGAAGTGATTAATGCAAAGGTAGTCATTATTTAGCCTCATTGTGGATGATGGAACGTTCATAATGGTTGTTCCACTGCTTAGACGAATAAAATATAGTAAATCTTTAGACCACTAAGCCACCGTATTCGTTTCTGGGTCAAAGCATTAGGTAAAATGTCACCATTTGGTATTGTTGAGAAATAATTAGGAAAAAAATATATATATATTTAATAAGACCTGGATGATAGCTTTTCTTAGTTGTCGGTAGGCATGACGTTAGACTTTTCCATGACTACGCAAGACGATATTAAAAGTTTTATTCAAATATATATATATATATAATCTTTCAGATCCTTCTCTGCTAGAAAGAAGCACGGAAATTATAATTAAGCTTCAATGTAAATGAAATACTGCATGATACCTTCCCCTCGTAAACAGAATTTTAAGCCGGTGATGACTCAATTGCAACAACCGGGTCTAATGAGACATTATTAGAATTTCTGGACCATACCCTCAATTACTCATTTTCCAGTTGCTGGGAACCAAAATTATCATTACAGACCAAGAAAGAAGTAGGAAAATAGACCCAATGGACCCATCCACTCTCAATTTCAATTACATTTCAGCATCAACACATTTGACAGAATCTTTAGAGAGAAAAATAATTCACACAGCACAATGCTTTCAATCACTTCCGCCTGGATTGTTTTGGAGCCTTTCGACTTTCTAGTTTTTTCTTTGCAGCTTCAAATTCCTCTTCAGTGGGCTCTGAGACCGCTTCTGCTCCGCCGTATTTGGACAACAGAGGTGAGAACATGGAATGAAATAGACTCTAGAAAGAGAGAGAGAGAGAGAGAGAGAGAGAGAATTTCTCAAAATAAATAAATAACATGAATGAAAAAAAAAAAGAGGAGGAAGAAAGAGAAGTGAAGGTCTGATTCAGGACAGTAAACGTATATAAAAAATATGAAGTAACGGTGTGAAATTATATGGCACAAAATAACGCAACCATCCTTTTTCACAATATGGTTCTGAGGAGGAATGAAAGAACAATTATTTGGTTCTGATCTCCTACTTCCAAGTTTTGAGTCTAAGACGGGAAATTGAAGTTCCACATTTCATATGACTTATTTGCTAGCCAAAAGTAGACTCAAAGCTGATAGAAACCCTCACCTTGCAAGTATTGCCACATCAAGAATATCCTTGAAACACTGTGAATCTAGCTTAGGATGATCCGAGTAGAGCATTGAACAAAACAGCCTATGAAAGAAAGCACTTTAGAAGAAACAGACAAGCCCAAAGGAAATGAGAGGAACACTTACCATAGGACTCATATGCCAATGAATTTTCTGCAATGATGACAATTGCGTTCACTACTGATTGCATTATCAAGGATGGTTTTGGCACTATTAATTGTTAGCAAATAAAAGAAAAAATTAAACACGCACTAAATTATTTGTTCTAAATAGATACAAATAAAAGGTTTGGCAATTACTCACAGTGCTTGTTTCTCCTCGCTCACCAAGGATTTATATCACCTTTTGCAGTTGCCGAAATTTCTCTTTGGCTGCCTAAAAAATAAAAAAGTAGGGTTACAGAACCACAAAATATCCAACTAAAAAACAAATGGAGAATGAGATTCAGCTTAGTTGAAAACCAATTTTCACCTCATCACCAAGATTCTCATCAGGGTGAAGTCGCAACGCTAACTTAAAGTATGCTTTCTTAATTTCCTGTTGAGATGCTGTCCTTTCCACACCAAGAACCTAGAAGACATTGGCTTATTATTTGGTAATTGTCGGCCACCTTTATATTGAATTGTAAAATCAAGCAATAGTAGACTACAAAAGCATTGATAAAACAAAACGAGCGCAAGAACTAAATGTCAAAGAATAATATTGAAACACCACGAGGTAAACATTGCATTTCCGGATTAATCAGAAGCCAAACATGGTGCTAATAGTAAGTCAATACACCTCAAGTACTATCCAATGCAGTTTATTCTCGCTAAACAATCTTCAGTCCAGCTAATATTGATGACATGTTTCCATTAGAATCATATTCTCACACAACTTAAGATAAAATGCAAATGAAATTATTATCATAGGGTAAACAAGGCAGCTAAAGAAGACCTTCAATGTGGATTTACAACAAAAATCCTCTTTATCAGAAAACAAAGCATTTAGCATCCACCATTAAACAAATATATTCCAATAAAACTAAATAAACCAATAGTCTACGATTCTCTATAACAAGACCAATTACATTAAATTGTCGATTCTCTATAAATTCCGATGAGAAGAATAATGTTATGAAGACTGCAATAAGGAATCATAACAAGGAAATGAAAATCATAGTATCATCAAATCTACCGAGTCTCCAATTATCAGAATAAATGAAAACAGAAGATTTAGAGATTGAACCGATCTAACTGAAAAATTAGAATGCAAAACAGTATTTTACATATCAAGATTGACGTTACAATGCAAACAAGTCAAGTAGTTTGATATTTTGAGTTGATTCAATTGGGCCAGGGGAGAGATCAAGCTTGTCTAAAGTTCAAATTAGGCTCAGTGAATCATGTTCAAGCTTAGGTCCTTGCACCATGCAGGGTGCTTAAGCTTGGCTAACTGCAGCTTTGCAAGGAAGCCAGAGACAGGTAGATAAAGTTTATATGATGCCAATCGTTTGATTGAGAAAATAATGTCTATGTCATTTATGTAGTTTAATAGCTGGTGAAGAACATAAGTTTCTTTTCCAATCAAGTTAGATAAAAAGGAAAAGGGAAGTACTAACAATAAGTTACATCACTATAAATTAACTAATAAAATCACCTAATTCTAAATTATCTTGGTATGTGTAGAAGTAGCATAACAAGAGAATCCTCAAAGTGTAACAACTCTTGCCAAGAGGAATGAAAGTTATCATGCTCTTTATTGAGTTTATCTCAATCATATGACTTCCTAGTAATTTTTTTACTGGAATTATTTTATTTTTATTTTTTATATCAAAGATGCTTTTGGTGAGATTCGTGTTAACACTTTTTGTGGTCAAAATGTAAGTAAAAATTAGTACCTCAGCCGCAGCTCACAGTCAGGTGAAAGGAATAATTAGTACTTGAATGACTTGGCACTTCGGATTGAATGAGGTGACAGATAAGCAAGCAACCAGTAACTATGCTCTTAAGTTCTTAGGATACTCTTCTATATTCTCTTTTTACATGATTTTTCAATAAAATCCTAACCACTGGGACCGTGAAAATGACAAGTTGGTCACAAGTTCTTAAGAAAACATAGTATGCTTCTCTGAGACCTCTATTCAACCTAAGTTGGTAAGCTTTCTCATTATACGTCCAAAAAACTTTTGGGCTTGAATCCTTAATCTTTAAAGTTTAATGCTACGGTTGGGAGCACTAAATCGGCGCCTTGGAATTGGAATCAAAAGAAATTCGGTTTAAACTTTGAACTAAATTTCCTCCAATTCCAAATTCAATGTGCCGATTTGGTGCTCCCAAACGCAACATTAACGACTATCATCTCTTCCTGTTATTATTATGATTTTCTTTATATTTTATCATTATGGGATAATCTCTACTTGCTTACATTCACAAATTCCACTACGTATAAGAGTTGGAATTCATACCAAATTGGCAAGGCAGTTTGGTATTTTATTGTTCACGTAATTGAAAAAATGGTTCTCACATGGCAAAGAAGCTCTTCTTCTTATCGAATATTTTAATTGATTTACATTTATATTAGTCTTGCTTCATTCACTATTATTCTATTTATTTGTACTGTAAAGATTGATTTTCTTCTAATCTCAGCTATCGTCAATGGGTCACAATTTAGCATAAGGGCCACGACCCAAAAAATAAAAATAAAGCCATGAACCAAGCAACATAGAATCACAAACTAGAAGAGCGACCAAACATACCATAGAGTCTGGATCCAAAAATAAATAAATAAATAACATGAACCATATAAGCAATTCCTTTGTGTTATAGGATGTAACAATTTCTTTTACTATATTTTTTTTCCATAAACAAACAAAAAACAAATTGCCTAAACATAGTTCGCCAAAAAAGGGAATTCAAGAAGTGCCAATATCTGTAAAAGACTCACATATTCATCAATCGCACATAGACCTGACTAACAAATTAGGGGAAAGGAATAATATATATATATATATATATATATATATATATAATGATGTGTTGAGGCAACTTAATTGGCAAGATACCTCGTACAAGCTCTTGGCGATTGAAGATTGTCTGCTCTCGTTTGTCTCCGTAAGCCCTGGCTTTCATTCTCTTCCCCATTTTAAGCAAATATGAATTGTGTATTTGTATCTACATCTATATCTAATATACCTAAAATGTAGAGACTAGAGAGCGAAACAGATGGAAAGAAGAAGAGTGGATTTTATCGGGGCCATGAGTTCCCG